AGTAGGGAGAGAAGGGTAGAAGGGCTATTGGAGAACTTGGAGTTGTACAGTGGAGGGGGAAGAGAACTTCATTCAGAAGATCTCGATGGGGACGGCTAAAGAAAAAAGGCAACCTGGGACAAAAAATGGAATGATTGAGCCAGGTGGACTGGTTTGAAGAATATGATGGAATTGGTCAAGGTCTACTATATCTGGACCGACCCGATAGTCCTCGTCCGTAAGAGGTACTGGGTAAGGAGGAAACTGACTTAAAATGTATCTGTACCAGTTTCGTCTAGCTTGTTGTTCGTAGAACTCAGACTCTCCTTCGCTATCGAAAGATCCCTGTTCGGGATCTTCCGGTTCCTCTTTGAGGTCCGGTAATTCTTCTGCGAAGTCCTGGAGGGCTTCCTCAAAATCGTGCGATGCTCCTGGATGATCGGACGACTCGAGGTGTGAAGAGAAGGGGGGAGTGGGAATTCTCGACGGTTGATGGTCGAGAGATGGTGGGTAGTCGAAGGGGGGAGGGGGAGTAGTATTTCTCGGCGGTTGCTGGAAATCAGCGAAAGCAGGCGAATATCCAGAGGGAGAAGGGGGACCAGGATTTTCCACATGTTGAGGAGATTCAGGGAAGGTAGGTGAATGTTCAGGGGTAGGAGGAGGAGTAAGATTTCCCGACTGTTGAGGGGATTCAAGGAAGCCAGGTGACGGGGGACGCTCGGAGGAAGAGACGGGTGAATAAGAGGGAGGTGAATAATGGGAAAAAGAACTATGGGGACAAGGGTGTGTATTGCGTGTTAATTAAACGCTGAATTCTTAATTTAAATGCTTGCTCGTCTATATTTAATTTCTTATAATCGATAATAAAGCTAGGATCCGCGGACGCCCGAGCCAACAGTTTCCGTATCTTTTTATTTTCCCGGTTCTTGACGTGTTTCGCCCAGCACTTAGAACGCTTTGCCGGGGTTGTTTCCACTGGGAAATACACGCACGAGTTAAGTGAGGTCTTAATATTTGGTTAAAAAAAACAGTTTGGTAATAATAAAATGATAAAGAAAATAGAAAAACTCTTAAAGATCTCAATTGTATTCTTATTATTATGTATATATATATATATTTTAAGAAAGAAGAAAAAAATGATATGGAGGGGATTATTATGGAAATAGGGAGAAAAGATTTTCTTCTAGGCCTGGCAACTAAGTATGAATGCCAATCATGATATTACACCAGGATCCTTGCTAATAACACCTAGGGACCCGTGAAAGGGGAAGGATTGCTTAAGTCTAACAATAAGCATGAATGCCAATCTTGACAGTGTTCAAGATGCTGGCTAATCAAGCTTACGGACTCGCAAAGAAGAAGGTTCAAAGAAGAGGAATATAAAATATTTAATAACCAGAATTTAATTTAATAATAATACTAATATATGTGTATGCTTGGATATTACTTGAAAATTTGAATTTAATAACAAACTGTTTCTTTTAAGAGGAAGAAAAAAATAAAGTAAGAGAAAGGTAGAAAACAAAAACAATAAAATTCTTTGGTAGACTCACTACTTGTTGTGTGCGAAGATGATGAATTTAAAAATTTCGCTGGATAAATGAGCCAAGGTCTATCTCGTGGACTCGGCTGTGCGGAAAGGGTGGCTCGGAGATCCGCTCAGTTCCGGTGGTGTTCGTTCGATCCACTCAAGGGCACACCACTTGTCACTTGCCCGCACGAATTTTGTAAAATTTCAACTTGTATAGCGTGAAACTCCTTGCACTAGCACAATCGCAGAGAGAACTTGTGAGAATAGACAAACTTCCAAAGACTTAATAAATCAGCGCGAGCTGTAGACAGACTCGGTGCAATGGTTCGAGTCGAGAGGCGAAGATGAACTGAACTTTCTGAGGGAGGATTTCGCGTATCTCGAACCTTAGCGTCTTCCCACGTACCCTCTCCATTAGGCAATCAGAATTCTTTTTTTAAAAAATCAAATCTTTACTATTTACCCTCTCATGAGTAGGAGGTGCTACCCTTTCAGAAAAAGGTCCAGAAATTGCGCCTATTGGTGTAGGCTTTTGTTTTTAGAAGTTAAGTCCAGCCTATTGGAGAGTCCGTTATGATTGGCTAAGTTGACATTTTTATTATTCCCGTTGAAATTTATCTCAAACAGATAACACAAGAGGGTGGTCTGGCAGGCGAGCACGCGGTGTCAAGTATCGCAAGTTCTGGTTACGGATTTTGGTTTCATCTGTAAACCATTGTCCCTGTTCTTCTTATTCTGTGTTTTAAACCCTTGAGCCCGTTGCGCGGACCTTAGAGTTGAATATTTGATCTATCTGTTTGTTCTCCGTACGCACATGGTCTAGATTTCTAGCGTTCAAGGGTCTCTTATCTTTGTTTAAATTTTTTAAATCTTTGACATGGGTCTTAGTCCCGGAATATTTATTGATGCGTCTCATCGTTAAAAAATTTTATCGTTCTGAAAGATTAGTCTTGCCTGCTAGATATTTCTTAGTTTATTGTTTACGTCGTGTGCAGAAAGGTTCCAGAGCGTAATTTTTATATCAGTGAAAGAGATTTTATGAAAGAAAAGGATCGTGGAATCCACCGGACGGGGATGATTACGATAATTACGGCCCCCTATTTGAAAGATCGTTTCTAAAGACATTTTTGACGAGGAACACAGGAAAAATAGTAAAAAGAATTTCCGATCGATAGTTTTCGAGATATATTAGTTTAAAGTATTGGACATGATAATAAAACTTTATAAAAACGGACCCAACGATGTTGACCTTGACATATGTTGTCAAGATCATGATCCTGAGTAACTTTTCTTTATAACTTAATCGGCGGTCTCTTATAATTTTTGAGATATTTAAGGCTCCTGAGTCGTAGTCGCCGTGAAACTCTGAGTTGACGGTAGCGACATGAGAATAAAGATGTTGCGGTAGGAATAAGAACCCTATCCAACGACTTACCATATAAGTGAACTGGGATTTATTTGCAACTTTCGGCTGGGATTTTTAGCTCACGCCTACTGCTCACTGCTCCCCTCTAACCCCGCGCTTCTTAGCAACGCATCGCCGCATCGTAAATCGTAACTAAGGAACGCATCGCTTAGTCTCAGGAACGTGCGTATCACAAATGTGATAGCACAATACTCTAGTAATCATAAAACATAAATATTTTAAATTGTTATAGAACATATAAGTAATTAATAATATAATAATT